AACCTGTGTTATGTGCACAATAGTTAGTACTTTAACTAAACGAAAAGGACTTATCGTTTGCTTCGCCGTAGTGCTGCAATCCGCATAGATTTACAGCACCTGCAGTTAACATCAAATTATTCCATGGTAAACCTAATGTGTAGGATGGAGACGTAGTGCTAAGTGACAAAGTGAAATGGATGAATGTGTCTTCTAACCGTCTTTTAAATATTTTTATTGTAAGTGCAGCGATGACCGATTCTAAGAGAGCATTCCACGGGTGACAGACACGAATGGAACATAAATTTCTGCGGCACTTCTGGTGGCTATACTGTTCAGCGAGTTTCAGTGTGTGGCCCCTCAGGGTTGTATTGGTGATGAGTTGCAGTAAAAGGCTTCACACATGAGGTGGGTCAAGCGGAATCAAGTATGCCGTAATCAGCTCGCCTTTTATTCTGCGATAGCTTCCACCAAATACCCCTAATCTTGGAAGCCTCTCCTGATATGAAAGATTGCGCATTCCAGTTACGTTCTTAAATGTCCTACGTTGAAGTTGCTCCAGTGCTTAAAGCTCGTGTTTTAACCAGGGATGCCAAGGGTAATTTGCGTATTTGACATGAGGGCGCACATATACACTAAGCATTTGTCGAAATACGGATCTGTTCATTTGGCCAAACGTACATCACATCAGCCCGACCTGTTGGTTTCCAGTCTTCGAGGCCTTTACGGATTGCCTGGATCAACCCAAGTCCCATTCAAGTGTTGCTTGTTGCAGTGCATTAGTTACAAGAGTTTATGAGCTGCTAATCTGATGTCGGATGGAAAGTACCTTGAATTTACTGATGTTGAAATGCAGTACGTTTTGAGTTGTCCATTAATACACCCCATCTAGGTCACTCTGAAGCACATTTTGGACGGCGTTTGCCTGGATCTTGCGCCAGATCATAATATCGTCGGCAAAAGTAGGAAATTTGAAGCGATTCCCTGTGCAAGCTCATCACTAAACAAAAAAACTAACGTGGACCTAGAACTGAACATTGGGGCACACTACACTCGACTTCTATGGGGTTCGATAAATAGCTCCAAACTCTGATCATTAATTGTCATTGAAGTAGAAAGTTGGTAATCCAGCTTAAATGTGCGTCGCCGGTCCCGTAATGCTGGAGCTAAGAAAGTAGTATCCGACGGTCTGGACCATCGAAAGCCTTGGAAAAATCCAGGTAGATCACATCAACATCTTCTCCAGCATCATCTGCCTCGGTCCAACTACTGCGTGCAATTATTAACTCCGCTGTACATGACCGCTGTCAACGGAAACCATGCTGCTCAGGAGTGATGATGTTGCCGTTTTCCAGATAGCGCACCAGTGCATCGGCAACTATGGATTCCATGACACTGGAAATTATAGGGAGAGGGGATACTAGGCCGTAGTAGGCGGGATCAGTTCTGCTTCCACATTTATGATTCCTTATTCAAAGTTTCCACTAACGGGAACATGATTCTGCTCTAAGCAGTGCCAGAAAACTGACCCAATGGTCCTGCCAATTGGCTTGCTACTGCTTCCCGTGCCTCTGAACGAGTAATGTCAACATTTGGCGAGCTGTGTTTGCTTAGAGACGTCAGTATTTGCAACGGAGCCTTTACGATAAAAGCGATGTGTGTTAGTTCTAGCGATGGTATGAGAAGGTTTGGAAGATCGCTTGGTGGTAAGACCATCTCAAACGTGGAAGCATATTGCATCCCCAGCGCGTCTGCTGATTCCACAGCCGTTCTTGTTGAGCTATCAGCTGTCCTGAGTAAAGGAAAACCATGCATGTGTTTTTCCAGGCAATCAACGTGCTTTACAACAATGTGTGGTTACAACTGAAGGTTTCTGCGATGTGCTGATAGGCGGCTTTGTCTTCGCTTAGCAGTTAAATACAGTGGCTACGTTGGGCTACTTAGCTGTCCTAAGTTCCTGCTGTTGGAACTTTTCTGTACACTCGCCATGCTGCGTCGCATACTGTCATCCATTTCCACTCCTACTCTTAACGAAGGAAACTGATGTACGCTTACTGCAAGCTCTTAGCCCTGAAGCCTCTGCAATAAGCTGATTGCCTTTGTTGACGATCTCCAGCCAGGCTACTTCCGGGTGTACTTTTTTGAGGAACGACCAACTTGTGGCGCTGACGAGCACTCACAGTCTGTGTGCGCGGGGCGCTTGATTGTGTTTATGCCTAGCGACATCGCGCCGAGGAAGCGGTATATCATCAGCTGGCCTTGCACATTTTGTTACTTCAATTGAAAAAGAATTATACATGCATAAATGATCTTAGCTGCCTGTTATCATCAAGAGAACGACGTAGTTGAGCGCGCTGTTGGTCACCTAAATTGATGTTTGTGGCCTTCCTAGTAAGATAGTTTGTTCGAAATGGGTACGCTTCTTACCATTCATAGACCGCTCACTTAGCATTTTACCTTACATGCAAAAGCTGCACTATGATTTAGTTTGCTGCTCAACTTGTTGTTGTTTTGTGTTTTATCCTTATTATTCTTCGATAATCCACGGAACTGATGAAAACATGTGTCATTTCCTTAGGTTTTCAAGTAAATATTAAGGCAAAGAGCCCTACCATTGCAGCTGTTACTACAGCCTCAAACTAGATGTTCTATGATGAAACTCCCTCATCTTCGTCACTTGGACTACACAACGGGAGAGTGTGGTTATTTATTGGGAAGTGTGGATCAGTAGATTGTCAAATGTTTTATGGAAGGAAACCAGGACCCATAGAATTCAAATGTAGCATCACCCATATGAGTGCGTACTGTTACGTACAGCCAACGTTTGCGTCTTATTTCTGATCGCACCTTGTTTTTAAATCCATGTAGAGGCAATGGGTAGACAACAGGGCCCTTTACTCGACTCTTTCATGAGGCTGCTAGAAAGGGGCATATCTACCGAAAGAGTCAAATTGCAATTGTGTTAGCGATATATGGGTGACGTAATGGTCTGTGGATTGTCCCAATATCCTTATCAGTCTCAGAGATGAAGAATTAATCAAGAAGTCCGTCTACAGAAAACCTACACGACCCGACCAATACAAGCACTACAACGGTTTCAAGACAGTGTGATAAAGGCAAACACTGGTGAAAACTTTATTCAGTCGTGTTGGACAAATTTTTTCCGACGATTTCCCGGTCGACGAGTATGAGTCAAGTGCAAGTAAACTAATAGAGAATGGTTAACCTCAAAGCTTCACAGAGAAACTTAGCCAAAAACGAGACCCGCTGGACTGTGCTAGCGACCGCCAATAAAAATGGATACCCAATTACCTTTCCTCTGGGCATTTACTGAGCAAATGCCTACTAATGTTTGCATCACTATTACCTAGCGAAGTCACAATGCTGCTCAAGCTGAGATCCTTAACTAAAGTTGAAACTGGCTGATGTAACTTCCGAAGGAAGCCCAGCCAAACGTGACCAACATACACTGCATATACCAATTCGGGTGCGAATGCGGAGACAGTTGCATAAGAAGAACAAATCGGACTTCCTGAATAAAGGAGCGTGTTCCGAAATAGGTTCAGTGAATAAGTATCCTCACCACTTCTTCCCTCAACTTCTTGGATCGCAATTGCTGCCATCGTCTTCGATAGATAAATATCTAAATATTCTGGTTCATCGGATATAGATGGTTCCAACGTTCCAAGTTGTGGTTCCACATACTCATTCCCTTTCCTTCGGCCTGCTGTGACCGTTGTAATAAGTCGGATCCAACCGATCCTCTGGGTATGGAGACAATTATTTACAACCCTGAGGATCTCCTGGTCTTAAGGATGAACTTCCATCGTTTTGCTCCAGCTGAAACTGGTCTGTTAGCACCCACTGTATACTATACTTATGCATATCGCTTATTGCCTATAAAACATAAGAGACAACATGAAATTCAAGATTCTACCAGCCTTTGTCATCTTTCACATATTTCAATTTGCTAAAGCGAAAAAGCTGCATTGGACTTAATTGTGCTGTTGTTAGTCCTACTGAGTTAGCATTTCACAATACTTTGCACCCGGATCTTTGGATACAAATGTGTGTGTTAAAACCTTGGCTAATTCATTTGATTTAGGACAACGGTCGTTTGTATGTGGTAGGCACAAAAGCCACCAATATGGTGGCGGTATTGCTGCTTCATTAAATAGTATCCATTGTATCGCCATTCTCACTACTACTCTTTTCTGGCAAGTATAATTGACGGATATATTTCGTTAGCTAAAAAGCAGACCAACATTTGTTAAAATGTGGACAACCCATCCAATTTTGTTTAACCTCAGTTTTTCTTGACCATAATTGCTTTGTTTTTTATGAGAATAAAATTTGTTTCATTGAACCACGTTCTCTAACATTCCGATGCTAGGTGTTTTCTTGCAGGTGCCCCAATTGGTATAAGCCAGACAAATCATTAACCTGGTTAATTTTTCGACAACCTGCCGAATCGTTAAGACTATACGATTAATATAACTTATGATTTTAGTCGTTCTTTTTCTACGTGGCAACGACGTTTATCTTAAATTAGCATATATTTGCATTCAGCTGATAGGCAGTGTGCATCTGTGGGTTTCTATGCCTAACAATGATTGCTCGTCTTGATACTATAAACGCTGCAGTGCGTTTAATGTGGATATTGTTTGGTTTCGTTTTACAAAACGGTTGAGCAACATTACCGTATAAGCTTGATTGCAACCATTACTGATTTACTTGTGATTTAACTTTTCTGCCGATGCTTTTGTACTTTCCGAACCAATGAATGGGTGCATAGAACTGAACGAAAATTGGGTACTTTCCAGTTTGTCAATTGCCTGAGGTACTTCGACGATGTAAAACGTTTCTCTTGTGTATACCTGTGCCTACTTTACATACCGTGATGTTTCTTGTTGACAAAGTCGTTTTTGTCTCTCAGCCTGTAAAGTACAAATGTTCTATGGGACCCCATCTCATGCGAATTGATAAAAAACCATTTGGTGATTACATGATTCCCTTGTGCAGTTCTTATTCGACTCACAAAACAAATCTCACTGCTCTAAAAAACAATTGCTGCAGGTGTACACTGCTGCTTCCATACAATTGAAGTTGCAATCTATCGTATTGTTATATGCAATACCCAAGCACGCCATTTCTTCCATTCTAGGCAGACACATTTGGAGAAACCAGTTGTAGAGTTGTTCACATCGCGCAAAACACTGATCAATATGTGGAGTTCGTGCCAGCCCCATGGTAGCCGCAACCGATATAATTAATACCTTCAAACAATGAAAACGAATTGGAGTAGTGAAACAATTAATAAAAGATGGAAAAGTATAAACAAATTACTCTCATGTATTAGCATAAGAAAATGCCCCGTGTCATATCAGACGTAGTGACGCAAATGATTGCTTCTGAGTACAAATATTTAGGCGGATGTGGGAAAATCCCCCAATATAGGATATATACATTTACTGACAATTGAATATATATATTATCATCCTTTGCAATCGCATAGTCAATAAACCTATGAACGACACGTCTAACTCGTGAGGTAAAAAATGTGTGATAACGTACCAAACTAAAATAGTTCATGTGGTGCGTTCACCATTTGCGTAAATCTAGAAGTCCCATATTTATATACGGATATGAATGACGCTCATTGGACACTCACTAAGCAGCTGATTGTGCAATAATCTACTTGTGTGCATCGACGTTAGTCAGACACAAAGTCTGTTTTAAAACAGCCTATCAGGAGACCTTCACTATGCCAACAGTTGAGGTAGTGTTTGTTCACACTTTTCCATTATACCTCACCAATTCTACTACAGTTGGCCGAAGGATATTCGAATGTTCCCGTATAGGCTATAGTCAACCAAATTGACAACACACGCTGACAATTTCTTGTTAATCTGGTATAGTATGCGACCATCATTTTGTATCATTCTAAATCCAGGAAAAGTTGCATCAATAGCAAGATGGCATCTAAATTTTACGAAGCGATTTTGTTAATTTCTGCTATTGAATAAATTGGTCTTCTAACTGTAAGGAACAAACGTTGCTTACGGGAATTAAGCTAAATCAGTCACTTGCAAACATCAAGTTTATTGATTTGTACCTTAACCACTGATACTATCTGTCGCAAGTACGCTGAAAAATTAGTTTACCCAGATTGCTAAAATAAATGCTGCATAACTTTAATCAGAACTCCATACTAATTTCGTCTAATTTCATTCTCTCATATTTCGAAGCATATTGCAAATCACGTAAATCCAACCTCATATCTTTATTTACGGGAACCATATAGGCGCTGGTGGGACTACCAAAGGTATAGTGGGGTTTGTTTATTTGACCAGTCTGAGTGGCTTCGGCCAACGAAGCTGGGGCATAGAGGCATCACCAGACCATCAACACCACATCACTAACACGAACTAGTAACTTACGGATGTTATAACGTAGTGCGAAATGATTTGGTTGGGAGCATCCGGTTTCGGATTTGCCTGTCACTGTGGCTAGCCAGAGGAACCCTGAGCCTACAGAGGGTCCATGGGTGGCTTGCACTGCGCTACCCGCAGGTTTAACAACACATCCATGTCCAGTGTAAACCCGAAGGAATAAGACCGAGAGGCATGTGGATGGGAGTCAGGTTAAATCAATGGAGCCGACTCACATTCTTCACAGGCAGGCGCAATCAAGCTGTATTTGGGAATTAAGCAACTACAAGGTGGTGGCTGGACCGTAGTCCACTACACCCTGAGTGCATGCAACCACTCATTGATCCTAACACGGCCACAAGGCCCATGCTCCCCGTCCCCCCATCCAGGAACAACACTCTTTTAAAAACAGTATGGACTAGGTAGGGGGTAATAGAGAGGTAGGCACCTTGTCAACATGCGCATCAAGCGCAGCAACACCGGGAATATCAAGCAGCAGCCAATCACTTGAGAAAAAGCTAAGAAAGAAAATAAATCGAGTAATGCATAAGGACCCAGTGACATAAATCTTAAGTTAATGAGCATATGAAATAAACTGTTTACAAAAGCATCCGAGCTAAGTTCGCAAGGTCAGAAAGTATATTTTACTGCGATGCCAACAATACCAAATGGTTATCGAACTTTATCACAATTGGCTGAAGCGACTTGTGCAAGTTAATAGAAGATAGTACAAGTACACATTTATATGAGAAAGAAAAGCAATAGGACAAAACTGAAAACACATTGCCTGCACTAAATAAACTTAGCATGAAGCACGCGGTTATTAAATCGAATGCAGCATGCCTACACACGCTGCGCCGGTTCTGCCTACGTTCTCTGCAAGACCCATCGTCGCTTCGGTAGTGGTCCCGATTTGCCTCGCCCATGGCTCACTAGGCCGGCCTGATTCAGGCATTCGCGACCGCATGTGCTACAGCAACATGTGCTCGATATCGATGGAGTACGACCCATCGGTGCTTGCCGCTTTCTCAATTACCGCTTCTTCTCTGCATGTGTAAGTTCTTTCTCCCGCACTTCGGCAACGGCCTATGTGATTAGAACGCGCCATGCAGGCCGATAAACCACCTTCGATTTCCAAGACCTGAAATCAAGATTAGAACGTGAGAGGCTCACTTTAATCATGTCCTGGTAACGTAACTTTGGTTTCCCCACATGCCGCTTCCCAATACTCAGCTGACCATATAATAGTTGTTTCGGTATCTGCATCGAATCCATACGACGCACATGTAGCAGCCACCATTTAGGTGTCTCAGCAAAAGTAAGCAGTCTACTGCATATATACCACTTCTACGCAACACTTCCGTGTCCGCAACTCTGTCATCCCGAATCGGTGCAAAAACTCCGTCGCAAACACTGCTGACGGAACAGCTCGAGTTATCACACATCCCGACGGTACATCGCCCAGGTTTCATTGTCGTATGGAAGAACGGACAGCACCATTGATTTGTACACCAGCAGCTTTGTGTCAATGGTAAGCTGATGGTTGTTCCACACTTGGTAATCTATCTTCCTGAATGCTACCGTTGCCTTCGAGACGCGGATACGCAGCTCATTGTGTAGCTGCAGTTCAGTGGACATCACAGTTCCAAAGTAGCAGAAGCGAGAGGGGGTTTCCGATATTAAAGTCCCCAGGCTGTTACCCGGCAATATTAAAGATTGCATCGCCGGTGAAGGCTGAAAGAGACAGACAGTTTTCCTTGTTTTGCTGGTGAGCCCGAATTTTGCCGCTGTCGAAAACAGAGCACTAGTCATGTGCTGCAATTCATCCGCGCTGTGTGAAAACAATGCACAGTCGTCAGCAAACAGCAACATACGGATAGTTGTCCCACAGACTAGAGTTCTCGCACCGAAACGACGGATGTTCAGCAACCCACTATCAATACGGTGCTCCATACCAACACCGTAAGCACAAGCGGCAACAAAAGCACAAGATAACATTGCATGAAGATATATATTAAACAGGGCAGGAGCTAAGACACAGCCATGGTTCACACCAGATATAACTGCAAAGTCATCCAAGGTCTCTCCACTCAGCTGCACCCGCGCTCGCATAACACTGTGCAGACATTCAATTAAGCTTAAAACTTAAAAAACTTGCACAACACCAGCCACAATGCCTCGCGGTTCACCGTATCAAATGCCTTGGTGAAATCAACAAAACCGAGTACAACGGCTGGTGTCGTTCTCTGCACTTCTCCTGCAACCGACGAGCAGCAAGCACCATATGTATAGTGCTGCGACCCGAACGGAATCCACACTGCTCTTCCGCCACGTTAGATTCCACAACCTGACTGACAGGGCGGTTGAGCAAGATTCGGGCAATCACCTTGCCCACAAAACTCAGCAAGTCGATGCCACGATAATTGGTGCAACATTGCTTGCTACCTTCGCCCTGGTACAGTGGTAAAACAAAAGCATCCTTCAGCTCAGGAGGCACCTTCTCATCAATCCATACACGTTGCACCAATAAGTGCGGCGCAGTCAACACCACTTCCTGCACCACTTGGTGCAATTTGTATGGTTTGAGGAGGAAGCGCCTGCTGAGCTTTAAGATGCCTTGGTGCTATCACAGTTCAAGGTGATATATCCATTTATTAATGTGTCACTTGAATGGAAACTTACACCAGTAAGGCCATTGCCCCACTATGTACGTCACTGTCATTATTATAATATTCCCACTTCAATAGAAATGCTTCAAAAATCATCTAATACTATACCTGGCCAGACCATCATTTATGATTAGACAGCAAATTTACACACTAATTACAATAGCAGACTTATGTTGCGTCCTTCAATAAACGTGATTTCTCTTTTTGTTCCAAACAAATGCATGGCATGTATGTCAACGATAGACCCGCAAGCAAAAGTGGCATGTATATCCGTCAGCGTTTCTAGAATTAAAGCACATGTAAAACATCTTCACATCTTCAACATACAATACATTAAACGATATTCCTTTCCAGAACCACGTAATTAAGCTACCGGGCAGTCGATACAGTTCTGCGCGATATTATTTAGCCGTACACGAAGGTTATACAACGAGTTGATCTGAAATTGAGACGCCTAATTAATGTCCATCTGAATTAAAATCGGTTAAATCTAGTGATGCGTACCAACATAAGGCACACTGACTGCGACAGGTTTGTTTTCATTGGTGCAACAGAATAAACGGCTTAACCAGAAAGCTAGAGCTGTTATTTTAAACCAGTGTTCACAAAACGAAAATAAAATATGTTGATGGCACAGAACAGCTAGTCGATTAACCCATCACAATATTTGACAATGAAACTCTGTCTGCTATTATTCTTTGCTCGCTTAAAACCCATGTGGTTGAAACATATCAAATATCACACCACGTCCGGCTCGTTACGTGACACTGCGATGATGTGCTAGGGCATGAGCTATAACGATGATGGAATACAGTATCAAGAACCAATTATCTGAGATGCGCATTTTATCGTCAATCTTTCCGGAAGAGAGGCCTTAAGGAGTTGATAAAAATGCCATCCACAACCGCAAAACCCAAATGCATAAACATGCTGATTAACCGTCCAAACCATGAACTAAGCTGACCTAATTGCTAAAATGCTAGTAAGACTTCCGAAGGTGACAAATCAACGTCCTCTCCACAGCATAAAAATTTGGTAGTATATTTACTTACTTAAACCTAAGTCAATAACTAGTATAGAAACCAACTCTCAACATGATCAAGTTTATATTCAGACCAATTTAACCTAATTACAAGGTAGTTGCTTTAAAATATTCATTGCATAATGCCACACGGTTCTATTACTTTATTCGTACAATAAATTAATGCCCACATTAAAGTATATACTTAGGTATGTCCCCAATATGCTCTGCAGTCTCGTAGATATCATATTTCCTAGCAGGGAGATAAGAAAGTTAGCAACAAACAGCAACATATTTATAGAATTATGGCTCCCTTGTTCTTACAAAAAGTAATAACATAGAAAAGGATGGATTGCATGAAAATGGATGAAAATATATATGGAGCTCGAGAAGTGGAGGCAGGTTTCTAGTGTTCTGCGAGCCGAACGCTAAGTTTACAAGCGTTTCGTTGCCGCACTAGGTTGCATCGTCAGTA